CTGGTGGGGATGGCCATGCCACAATCCCTTCTCCTCCATTCTCCTTTTGGGATTTTGGGCAAGCATGCACACATGCCCAGTGTGAATTTTAAGCTGCTGGGTCTGGGACTCCAACTGTGGTCGATTACATGGGAGTCCAGTGAAATAACTATTATGCCATCTGCTACTTTCTACTTTTTATATTGGTTTGATATTGTCTGCTTCATGGTTTTATACATTCTTGAATAATTCTACCCCTTTGATGGTTCTTTCTCTCTCTCTCTCTCTCTCTCTCTCTTTTTTTCTTTTGGTACCACAAGATGTATGTAGTCACCAGAGAGAGAGAGAGAGAGAGAGAGAGAGAGAAAGCAGTCGCCAATGGGGGAGAGAGAGAGTGAGTGTGAGTGAGAGGGAGAGGGAGAGAAAGCAGTCGCCAATGGGGTATGGCCACACCACAGTCCCTCTCTTTCTTTCCTTTTTTTTTTTTTTTTTTTTTTTTGAGAGATTTTTGCTATAGAGCACGTGGGCTCGCCACAAAGATAGAGACAGAAAGCGAGAAATCACCCCCACCACCACCTCGAGGGGGATGACCATACCACAATCCCATCTTCTCCATTCTCTTGGGATCTTGGGCACACATGCACACACACCTGGCGTGAGTTTAAGCCACTGGGTCTGGGACTCAAAGCGCAGTTGACTATGTGGGAGTCCAGCGACATAGCGATTATGCCAGCTGCTGGTCCCGACAATCCCTTTCTTTCATTTCTCCGTTCTCTTGGGATCTAGGGCAGGTACACACATGTGCCTTCTGTATTTTTCTTTTTTTTCTTTTTGTTTTCCCTTTTCTTTTTCTTTTGATTTGCCAGTGGACATGTGTGCTTTCCAGAGAGACAGTGAGAAATCAACCCCCGTGGGGGATGGTTATGCTACAAGCCCATCTTTCCCTCCCTTTTGAGATTTTGGGCACCCATGTCCCACATATTGTTCAGGCCTCTAGGGCCAAAACCTGAACTTCATAGCAGGCCACATGGGATCCAGCTCTTTTCCCCCACCACACTGCCAGTCAACCCTGGTGTGTTTTTCAAGCCACCGAGTCTCAGATTTGAGTTGTGGTCAGCCATGTGGAATCCAGCTCACCTAAACCACTAGGCTACTGGGCCAGTGCAAGATGGTAATTTTTAATTGTTTTCCAGTGTGTTTGGATTTATTCTACTCTGGTCTGTCATGTTAAAGAATTAGGGAGGGAGATGAGATGGATGTGGGTGTTTTGTCTGCCAAACTGATTGGACTAGACTAGAATGCCACAGTGAGGAGGGACCATTAGAAGAAGGGGAAAGAAGCTGGGAAAGGGACAGGGGGCCCAGGGAAGATGAGGACCAGGGGAAGGACCTCACACTTCTGCCATGCTGCAGGGACTTGACTGCCATCCCCACATGGCTATAGTGGCATGTATGGTGCTTCCTTTCTCGGAACCTTGCAGGTGTGAGTGATGTGGCCTCTGTGCTCAGCTCTGATTAAGAAGCTCCAAGCCTGCTATTTGACTGCAGTGTCTCCCTGGCCCTTGAACTTCCCAAGGAATAGTCAGTCTAGAGGGCTGGGGGTGGGAGGAGGGTTGCCTTTCTTCAGGTAGTCCGGGATACACCTGTGCTGGGATATTTTTGTTTTTGTTATGTTTTGTTTGTTTGCAAAAGGACGTGTTACCAGTGAGAGACAGAGAGAGAGAGAGAGATGGGTAGAGAGAGCAGGCACCACCACCACCACCCCCCCCAGTGGGGTGTAGTCACATCCATGGTCACTTCTCCATTTCTCCATTGTGCTGGGATTTTGGGCACATATGCCCATGTGCATCATGTGTTTTTGAAGCCACAGGGGCTGGGATTTGAACCATGGTGGGACATGTGGGGTCTGGTTCCCTACTAGATTGTGGGGCTGGCCCTGTGCCAGGAGTAGTAGCTGCAGCATCTCAACCCCTGGCAGCCCTAGGGACCCTTTCCGTTCCCAGCCCTCATCATTTCCCTCAGTGCCCTTCAGGGAGGAAACAGAAACTCTTACGTGGTCATGACCTTTGGACCCAAGCTGCTGCCTTAATCTCTCCTGGCCAGCCCTTCACTGGCTTGTGCACCTATTTTATTGATAGTCCAAGAAGTTCTTTAGCCTGATGTAAACTCTGGACAAGCCAGGAGATCCTAAATCCATGTTTGACTGTATCCTGCCTTATTATAGAGGTTTCCTCATTCAGGACGTTTAGGATCTGCCTTATTATAGAGGTTTCCTCATTCAGGTACCCTGCCTTATCCCCTTCTCAACCCAGTGCTCTGTTCTGCCCCAGGCCTGCTCTCCGACAAGCCCATGCAGCCTTCTCACCCTCTTCCTATGTACGCCCTCAACCATGGTGCCCTTCTGCAGAGTCTGCAAAAGAAGTGGTATTGAGACGTGCCTTAAAGAATGCATGCATATATATATATATATATAT